TATAATATTATTATTGTTGCACAGCCATGGAAACGAGTTTGTATATCGATTTTGATGTACTGCAAGAGTTTTGAGATCAAAGTATTAAACCATTATATATATATACGTGTGTGTGTGTGTGTATAGTATGTAAAGATATGTAAAATCATAAATTCAATTCGAACAGGAAATATTGCATATGCGTGTAAGATATATCTTGCACTATACTTTTTACTAGACCATAATATTATACATATATACGCTGAATAAACACGTTTTGTACTGTAGGTATATGAAATATGAGCTATAAATGTTGTTTCTAGTGGTCGTTTACTTTAGTGTTCGTATCAATTCACAGTTTTTTTTTTTTTTTGGAAATTCGTCAAAAAAAAAAACCTCGTCTTAAGTGGTTTTGTGTCCAATTCGCCGATGAAAAATAGATGAGAAGGAAAAAAAACCGTTTCGTGTCGCCTGCGCGTCGTACCTGCACGGAAACGGTGACGGCGGTGGCGCATGAGTAACGCGTACGCAGGGCACTTCTGCCCCCTTCCCATCCACTCGCTGCACGTGAACGGGGACTGTTTTCGCCGCGCGCGGTAATCGCATCGCGCAAATTGTTTTACGGATCGTTCTGGTGCGGCGGCGCGCGCGGCCGAGGTTTATTTACTTTTCTCACGGGACTCGACCAGTCGAGGTGCGTTTGGCAAGAGTCCATTTAGGCCGTCGGCACCGGGTGGCGGTCGGCAAGGTAGTAGCAGCTTGTTTTCGATTCGTTCGCCGACGATAATATTACAATAACCGTCGCGATAATAATAACCATACGCGTCTACTCGGATAGTTTCTGTACGTATTCCGTGAACTTTTTCAAACGCCATTTCATTTAGTTTACAATATAAAGTGATTTAAAATAGTAGGTACGCGTACCTACACGGAAAACGAATGAATAAATACCTAATAATAATTATATAATTACGATCGTGAAGAAAGAAGTTCTTATGAATAATAAACGCGGTCGTATTATCTTTATGTTGTGCGTTCGTTTATAGTTATGAAAAAAAATAAAAAAATAAAAAAAAATAACTAATTTCAATCACATGCACACATACGAGTACCGTGTGTTGACATTCGATTAACCGAGTACGTACCGCGATGTAACAATAATAATAATTATCGTCACCCGGTGTGGCGTTATGTATGGCCAGTCATAATATTTATACGTACACACAAGTACATAATAGAATAGGACATCCGTAAGTAAGCGAGTACAATAATACAATATGCGTTTACATACACGTATGGACGGAAGCCATAAAATACGCGACGGTATGAGATAAATTAAAAAACTAACGATAACAATTTAAATAAATTGCCACCACTGCTCGTTCGCCGATACTATAATGTTCCACAGATTTGTTCTCGCGTTACATTATGTATCTCGCCGTCTTGCCCGATAGCATAAAGACGGTTGCCCACTAAATTGCGTCTTTTCGAACGAACCGCATTTTGTAATGCAAGGAAAAGAATTATACTTCAGTTTCTCGAATTTCCATCTTTTAGTGTTTTTCTCGATTAAATTTTCTCTCTCCTACGTTATAATTCAGTTTATTTGTATTTTCCAATTCTGATCCAGTTACCGGCTTTAGCCGTAATAAATTATTAACCGATAAATTAAGTGATAATGTATACTATTACAGGCACACGTTTTTTTTGAAAAAATTACTGGTATTTTCACAAATTACATTAGAGTCATATGGCTTCCCGATTACGGCTATATAATAAAATAAATACCACTCGAGTAATAAATATGTGTATATAATTTATTGGCGTGCTAGTATAAATCTAAATTGAAATCTCATTACCTACTAATATAGCTTAAGTTTACGTATATAAGTATTATCTATTCCATGTTAAATCTATACATCTTTAAAGTTTATATGATATGCATCTTGTTATGCACTTTTGTTTCAATCAAAACTTCTTGGGCTTACGTACCTTAAACGCATCCCATACTAGTCTTTGTCGCTTACTCTTTTTCGAATTTCATCCCATTCGTTTATCGCTCTGGCCTTTCTTCCCTCACAAACTCCCTTGTTGATTCATTGTTTAACGATTTTGTTCTACTCAATTTTCTACGATCTCTATTAGTCTTCACAAATGACTGGCTCGACTGGTTTCTCCTTCTTTATTCCTACTCTGAATATTTCTTTTTCTGAATAATTAAACTCTCACGCGTCATCCTTTGCCACCGAATGTTATGCAATAATTAATGCTCTTCGGTACATCTTCACTCTTGATTCCAAAAAATTCCTCTCTATCTCTTACTCACAGGCTTGCCTCCTCGCTCTTTCCTCAAACTCATTCAAGCCCTCTCTCTCTCCCTTAATTCTTACTTCCGATCTCCTTTCTATTCATTGTACGCTCTTCCGAAATCTACTTGTTCCTCTTTATAACTTCGCCTCATAACAGACATATTGCCCCCATAATACCTAAATTTCTATGATTCAGCAAATTTAACATTTCTAGACGTTTGATCGTAGGATTCATCCGCCTCCATATTGGGCACAGTCTCGTTCTCCATCATTTTTTCAAGCTTTCCCTTAATTATTTTCCATTCTTTACTAGTCCTCACGAATAATCAATATGCGATTTTAACCACATTATATTTAACTGTCCTTCCCTTCTTCCTAGTAGACAACTTATTTTTTCATTCTTATCTTCCTCTGGCTATATATATATATATATATATATATATATAATATAACTAATATAACTCCCTACTCTAACCTTTTCCTTAACTCTCACTACATTCCTATCATTCATTCCATCATTAATTTCATCATTAAATTCCTCCGGCTATCTTATTTAATTGTACAAATTAATATTTTTATATTTTTATATTTAGAACTTGAAAAATGCTCTAAAAACAACAAAATATGCCCTAGAAATTCATATAAAGATAAATTTATCATAAAATGTAAAAAAAAAAACAATACAAAATAAAAACTACATTAAATTAATCAGTGTCACTTGAAACACATTTTCTGCTTACGGACCTACGTGTTAAGATATTAGAAAAAAATATACATTTGCATCTAAATCTCAACCCTAGTTATGAAGTTATGATATCAAAATATGTATGTTTATTTTATTAAATAAATAACTAACTAACTAACCTTAATTATCCTTATAGGACCAAGTTTTTTTTTTTTTTTTTTATAAGCTTAACTACTAATCGTACTACTATTTATATTAAAAAGTATAGTTTCATTTCAATTTATAACCTAATTTATAACGATTTAAAAAAATATAATATTTTTCACATAAAAATAAAAATAAATTTATAATAGTGATAAGAAATATGTATATTAATATAATTGTATGAATAATGAGGAAAACTAAGTTTTTATCAGTTTTATAAAAGCCGAGCACCGTCACCGAGTTGATAACAATAATTTATAGTTCCTGTATACATTATATAGTAATAAATGATATGAAATGTATATACGTATGTGTTAAAAATTGTAGAGATCTTCTTGCCGAAATAATTTTATTCTAAATTATGCGTTTATCATATGAAATACGGAGTAAAGGAATGTATGGCAAATACCCACTATGCTTTACATAAAATTGATTGGTCATGTTAGAAGAAAATGTGGAGGAATAATCGTTTTATTTTACTGCATATATAGTTTTTAATTTTGATACAACTATTTAATTTTATATAAATTCTAGTAACTTTTAGTACGTTATATTAGTTTTTATTTAAAGGCTATACGTTTTTATAAAATGAAATATAACTATTATATAATGATTTTAGTTAAATGTAGATCTTAATGAGGCCCAACAAGTTATAACAAAATTCTAAAATATAATATTGTTTTCAAAAACTTAAACATAATAATAAATATTCTATAAGTAAATCTAAAATATCCATTTGTCAATATTAAGACTAGACATACTCGTAATTAAAATATTAGGTTTAAAATACTAAAATCAGATATTAGGTCGTATAAAGGTGATTTTCACTTCTTTCAATACTAGAAAATGTAATCCATAATCGTTTACCAAACTATATATATATATATATATATTTCATTATTTATAACACTATATAGTTTTATCACATTTAAAATGTACATTACAAATTTAATAGGTCGTGTATTATTAAATTTTTTATAGATCACACTACAAGTATTCGACGTTTTCTTTACTTTAACTTCATCGAGGTATTTATTTACTGCCGCACTGGGATTCACCCATACTTTCATCGGAAATCATAGAAAAATAAATCAATTTTCAAACGCCAAAGCACAATTATTCGTTATAGATATATACACGTATTTTTCATAGGTTTTTCCATTTCCGGTCGAATGTTTCCGTTACAAGAGTTACGATGGTTATATTTTATATTTTTCTAATGTACTACTACTACTACTACTATTGCCATCGATATAATTTACTCATCCATTATCATGAAAAGCCGACTACGTTTAAAGCGTGGGCGATTCGTTTTTTTTTCCTCTAGTTTGAATTGGAATTTCATCGTTATGAATAACGCAACAATAATATACGTTAAATCGACCGAACTAAACTGATAAAATATACGTACTATACTTTTATTTATTCTCTGCCGTAACCATCACCACTGCCACTCCATAACTACATACACACATACCTATGTCCGATGCATGTATTGTGTACCATTTATAAACGTGGTAGGTAGATTAAATAACAAAATTTTTCAAATTTTTTTTTTTATGTTTGTTCACTGTTTACGATAAAGAAAATTAATACTGTCGCTGTGGTAGGCTACGCTACTGTTGTCAACGATAAAGACAACAATACAATAGGGGCTGTGCAGTATCTTGTTGTTAAATCTAATAAGAAAAATAAAGTCAAAAACTTGTAACTGGCATGGAAAAAAATATATATAAATATGATTTAAATATATTATTTTATTAATAAAAGCTAAAAAAATATGTATATTATTTTTTTGTAATTATTATTGTAATATTGTACAGGGAAAGGTAGTGTATGGATATGACCTGGGCTTGTATTGGCAAAAAATAAAATTCAGCGAGGACTATGATACCTACACAATTTCAAACATCATCCTGTGTACGTATCACTACATTTTCTAATTAGTTATATATTTGTTTTATATTTCATACGAGTGTATTTTTATTTGTACAAAACTATTTCTCGGAGCTATCAGCTATACGGTTGACCGCTGACCAGACGTAATAATCATAATAGCTGTAAAGTAAAACGAATATTCAAAAACTGTATTAGAAATGTATTACTGAATAGTTCATTTTAATTTGGGCTATTATCTTGAAGCATTACGGTGAACTTTACTGAAAAGAAAAACGTCATAATGGACGGTTTTTAAGCGCTGTGAGAAGTAGGGGGACTGATCTCCCGTACGTCCTTCCCATTTCAATCCTTGGATACAACCTAGGTATTCATAACACACCGTACTCGGGGCCAGAAAGTGTCATTGTGGCACGATGATCGTTACAACGTCCGTCACACCGAGTTGGCGATAACGGTGTGAACTCGCCGCGTCGCGTAATGCGATAATAAATAGGTTTTGTCCTGTAACTGCGGCGACTGAGTATTTATACACGCACACAGTTTTATCTGTATATACATATAATACCTATACATATACATCTGGGTTGTATAAAATGCATAATATCATAAGTCCAATAATCGCACACGAACTCACGTTCAGGTAAACGAACTCATAGCGATCGTCATCGCCGACTACCGTTTGATAATCTTTTCTTTATTTTTTTTTCGGTTGTCCTGTCGTCGTTTAAAAATCATTTAAGCCGCGTGTCGTTAAAACCTGTAATTTTTTTTTTATTTTATTACGAGTATTATTACTATTATTATAACTATTATCCTTTTTTTATTATTATTATTTCTCTAATCGGTCGTTCCGCGATTCCACGTGTAATTACACGCGCGCGCGTCCAGCCTATATATGATAGTCTCGCGCGATAGCGGCTCCGGCGGTACGTACATGCTGCTAATGACGCCAAATGGCTTCGGCCGGCCACCCGCGTAATTTGCCGGACTTAATTACACCTGTACACGTATACGACGACTGCACGTGTACAGTAATGTGTGCGGTGCGTACATGTGTTTATGTCCCAGTTCTCTGCGTCGGTGTTAAAAACACCTTTTGCGCGTCGAACAACTATGGTTGGGGCGACCGATTTGCTCTTGACGATTTCCATGGTTCTACGACAAAATATCTCCAGTCGAAATGTCCCCGTAGAAAAAAAAATCTTTGGTAATAACGTTTCAGGTAAAAGTTTAATTTTAGTACGATTTCAATGTATTTCGATTGCATTTTGAATAGAATAATTCAAAAATGTAAGATTTTGTGTATTTTCGGAAATACGGAAATTAGTTGCGCTTAATTTATTAATGATATCTACTATACTTTTATCGTAATCTTGTTAAATTTTTCATCATTATTTTTTTTTTTTTTTTTTTTTTGGGGGGGGGTGGGAATCAGAATCTATTACCTGGAGATATTTTAACGTAGACATTTTTATGGCCTACCGATTTCCGATCGGAAAATTGCAATCTCATTTTTAATGATACGTGTTAACATAATATTATTATTAACGGTTAACTGTTTACAATTTGATTAACATCTCACACTTCGTCCAGATCGAACAGCGACGTGGTTTTGCTCCGAGTATAATATACGTAGTAATCCCGTAACTAAATACTTTGCCACACCGAAAACAAATCTGTACTAAATAGTTTTTACTTAAGAATATTTTAGATAAATTTACTAATATGTACCAAAAGTGTACCAAAACGCAATATTTAAGCTTACAGTTAATGTATAAGCATTTGTAGTTGTCCTATCAAAATAATTAATCGAGGTAATTATATTTTCTTGGTTGAATCATTTAAAATTAATATGTTCATGAAACTAGGGCGTCTTCACACGATTATCATTTGCGTCTGTGGTTGTTTTTCCCGAATACCAAATTAAAGTTACCAATTTACTAATCCTAATAGTTAAGAAATGTAAGTTATTACGATAAGTTATGTCATATATTGTATAATATTACTTATAATTATGGTTGTTCATCAATACGTACATTTTAAAGTGCCTGCAATTCCCTTACGGCTTGCAAAAAAAAAAAAAAGGAATCTAGAAGGCATTTTTACGGCAATCCAGCTACTATTAATTCATCTTGCGTTGTTTGAAATGTTTCTATCTTACAATGAGGATCGCACGTCGTTCATCATACACTTTTCCCAGCGACTTAAAAACGCATGTTCGTAAATTGAAAGTCTATAAAATGCAACGTTCGAGTGTGCATACACATGCAATATATAATATACGATGCTCGTTAGATCGTAAACAGTGCTGTTGTTAATGCTGTGTATTACCCATTGAAAACTATTTTCTTATTTATTTATGAAACATATTAGCGCATTCAAAATGCTAGAACCTATCGCCACATTTATATTTACTTATCAAATTGCTTATGTTCGAATAATATCGCAACACGTATGCTGCCATCGCATCATATAAATGCAGAGTATAATAATTAGGGGTAAGGATTTCGTGCTCTAAAAAACCTTAAAATTTATATACATATATGCGCTTAAACGTCATCATATATGTTCTAAAAGTATGTAAATATTCTAAAATATTTTATTTTTCATTCAAAAATCAAAACTTACCAATTTATTTTTTATTAATCTATAGTAATTTAAGTTGTTTAATTATTATGTTTTGAATAATTATTGAAAACATGCAAACTTCTATCAGTCCCTAGTCCTAGTAATAATTATTGAAAATTTAATTTTCTTCATTTCGGACTCTGTATTTTGTTTTCACAATTTAACTACTACTTATATTTTACGAACGTATCATGGCGGTTTTACGTGGTTCAAAATATTATACTGATGTTTGTTTTTTTTTTTTTTTTTCACTCCTCGCTTAATAGCTATTTCGTTTGTCACTCGTATCGCGTTTCTCGGTGACGCGAGCGCATCGTCTGCACAGATCGGCGTGTCTCGTACGTGTCTACCCAACAAGAAATACATTCCCGTTACGTTGAGCATCAGGAAATCGAATTCCACACGTCACGTTCGCACGTCGCGGTTTCCTGTTACCGATATTTCGCTTCACAATATGCGGTACACGAGAAGATATCATATTCTACATATTATTTTATTTGTTCACTATTACGTGTACGTTCGAAAGAATAAATAATCAATCGTAACACATAGAACACGCATAGATGTGTCACCGGTGATGATGGTATACCTATCGGTGGTTCGTGGTCAGCATGCGAATGACAGATGATAATATGATTACAATCCGAAGGCACAAATATTTCGTTTAAAATTACGAGTATCGATCTCAAGAGGAAATGAAAAAAGTACAAGCGTCGCGTGTGCATAACAAACGCGGTATCTCGTAGGGGCTGGTAACGTATTATTATATTTTTATAATGTAATGAACGATACCTACCTATTTGTTAGGCGAATTCCAACACCACAGGAGGCGAAATGAACTGCGCTAGGGGAAGAAAAAATAGTAACTCAACGAGACGAGTAAAAAGAAAACGAAGAGAAATTTCAACGCGAGAAACTTCACGTGTAATAACTCAAAAGTTTCGTTAAGCGCGCGTACGCGCCAACTGCAGATTTACCGATCTCACGCTGGTTAATGATACGCGTTCGGGTGCTGTTGCGGGCCTAACAAACGCCTACAAAATACACCGTTGAAATTAATGGGCGGGAATACAACATTATTATTATTATTATTATTATTATCATCTGTATGTTATGTAAATATATATGTGTATGTGTACATAATAATAATATTCTTATTATCATTATAATGATTATTGAACTGCATGTGATGAATTCCGTGCACAGTAGCCCGCTGCCGCCGTGACGCCATTACTGATAAATAATAATAATAATAATGATCACTAACGAAAAAAAAAAAAAAACAGTGGTATGAAAAAAATCGACCGTGCGCGAATTGAATTTAACGACGTGGCGCGCGTGGCTGCACCTGGCGTGCGTGTATATCAGTCACCGACCGCAGATAAATCTAAATCTGTTACGTACGGCATACGATACATTAATATAGTGTTATTTCGGTGGAGGAAATAATAACGTAATTTATAATAATTAAACGTCACGAGATTTTTTTTATTTATTTTTTTATTTTTTACAGTCGCTGAACGCACAAGAGCTAATAATATTATTACACGTTCACGTATAATTTATATGTACGTGATCATATACTATGTTTATATGTGTGTGTGTGCGTGCGCGCGTTATGTTTGTATTATATTTAACGTTACCTCGGTCGGAAAAACGATATTTACTCGTGTAACATAATAATAAATTTACTGTTGGTCAATATTTGCTTGGCTGCGGCCAACTACGCGCATATTTATACCTTTAGGGCTCAGCGATAAACTGCAGGGGGACCGCGGTTTATGTGCGTGTTTATTAATTCCTGCGCGTAATTATTATATATTTCTATCGATTGGTTTTTCGCGTAAGCTTTCTCTGTTATAATTATCGTGTGTTTTGTGTCTTCACCACCCTATAGTCATTCGTGCCAAATCACAATTCTGCCGGCTATAAGACATACTATGTACCCCAACCATTAAATTTAAGTAGTTTGATGATGTGATCGAATTATAGCGCACACATTATTTCCGGCTTTGGTGCGGTATTTATAAAAACGTTGTTCCGTGCACCGAGATTCTTATCATGGAATTCATATTAAAATTGTTCAAACAAATCGATGACAATTCTAAAAACAACCGGGGTGTAAAAACCGATTAGCTGTTTTATGACGGACATTCGAACGCAGATGAATAATGCAAGTATAATACAAGTTCGACATATCAAATAAATTAGTTTTCCTGGTATATATTTCGTTCGTATACTTAATATATACATGCAGATATTAAGTCAAATCGCGCAGAATAACGCTGACACCAGAGATCGAATTTTCGAGAAAATTATACAATAATATTTAATTGTTTTTTCTTTCTCTCTCTCTCTCTCTCTCTCTCTATCTATTTCTCTCATTATTTTATTGTTTACACGATCGACAAAGACTGAGGGGCGGCTAGGACGGTCAAGGTTGTTAAATTAAACGCACGACAAGCGGTTAACCGCAATGCAAGGCCGTAAATTGCACATACGAGTGCCTACACGTCGCCACCGACATATACACAATAGGTGTGTATTGCATTTTGAATAATACTATTTTTTTTTTTTTTTTTTACAATTTTCATGCAAATACACACACTTAAGTGCCCGCTCGTCATTTGTATTTATGGAAACTTGGAATAACGATATAATATACGATATGTAGGCACTATGCATCACGCCCATCCCAAAGTAATATAACTATGATTTCACGATTAATAAATTTTAATATTTTTACTCGGAAAGCACTTATAATAGCTATATTGTTTATCGCGCACGTGTTTACGATGGCTGAATAGAATTTCAACGCATCACATAATGTGCTGCTGGGATACTTTAATTTTTTTCCATAGCTAATTATAATTCTAGTGAAGTTGTTCATTTAATAATTATACATGCATTTTCCTTCGACTTTGAGTTATCGTTATTAATAACATTATTTTGAGTGGGTAGTATTTTTGGTTAAGTTTCGTTCAGAAACAAAAGAAAATAAATAAATAAAATTTAAGTAGATTGCCGACAGCAGCGTTCTTTATTTTATGGAGATGATATAACCTTGAACCTTATGTCAAACGATCATTGTTCTCTGTTGGCGTTTCATGACCTAAAACATTCAAGAGTTATCGATTGTTTACACCTATACTGAACGTCATTATCAGGTAGCTTCACGTCCTTTCATCAAAATGTATAAAAACAATATATTATTTGTCAATAAGTTGATAACACACAAGCGAATTCGTGTTTTATTTACACACTCAATTTGAAATTATTTACATATTCGTTTTTATTTTCATTATTCATTGTTTCTTTACATATATTGCAATCAAATTTAAAAATTAATTTTCATATATTTTCTTATATTTCCTATTAAGATTGATTTTCTAAAAATTTTTAATGCTAACAAAAAACGCAAAATTGTTATGTTTCGACATTCACAAGACTATTTGTTGTAAGAATAATATAAATAAAAAAAGTGTCTGGGATCATTTATTGAACATTAAACCTTTCTATTTAATTATTGTTAACACTTTTCCCAATATTTTGTACACTAATTATTAAAAAAAAATTAATTCCGCTTTTGGAATTATTTAAATAATAAATTAACCATCTGGCATTAAGCCGTATAAATAATAGTATAGTTTCATTTTATAGTCGATATGATGAGTTCCTTTGTAATTCAATCGCCAAAACGACATTTGTATAATTGATTGCGTTTTATCAAACGGGCTGTATATCGATAAAAAAATTGATATTATTATAGTCGTGCGTGTGTGTGTGTGTGTGTATGTGTTTGTGTACACGGTATGTAACGTATATTTGTGTGCGTGAGTATATTTATACGGTATTAAACCGTGATTTACATCGAGTTCATCGTGGACACCACTACCACGGTTCAATACATACTAACGTCGTTTATTATATAGATCGTGACGTGAACGGTGTGGGAATCGTCTCGGGTTCAGGTCGAGTGTTCGACATTAACGAGCGTACATAGGGCATTTTTTGGCCCTGGAGGCTTTACTAGTGCGCAGATACGCATCTCTGCGGGGAAAGAAGGCTGTATCAGTAACAATAATAATAACGCACGTGTGTGTATGTGTAATGCATGTGCATGTATATTTTACATACGCTTTACAAACGCTAAGCATTTCAAATAGGTACTAGAGTGACCTAACTTCCTGTTTAAATTCCTATAATTTCGTAAGAGACTGCAGCTGTAAGATATTTGAACAATTTTTATACATACGAGTATAAACCATCATATATGAAAATAAATTGCACTTTTCCGTTCGAACAAATGTATTTTTAATAATTATTACTGAAGTAATGAAGTTATTTAATATTTTGCATTCCTTTGTAGATACTTGTATTCATTTCTAAGTGAGTTTAAAATATGTCCCACTTGATAATAAAATATTAATTAAAATAAAAAAAATTTAACTGCAATTTTAACTTTTTTCGTAACTTTTGCTTAATTTTAAGAACATTTAAGTTTATTCCAATGTCAATTATTAACGCAGAAAATATTAATGTTTATTTTTTTTTATAAAACTAATTTGGTTTCAAGGCGATTCTTCAAAACTACAGTGCAATTTTTATTTTATTTTTATGTTATAACTTCACTGCCATAATTTATTAACAAACGATAATATTGTTATAGTAATATCTTGTTGCGTTTAATTATTATATAATACGATATTCTCCGTGCTATTATTCTGTATGAAAAATATATAATAAACACTCGGCAGGAATGGTCTTCTGAAATTAAATTTGTAGGTTTTTTTTTTTCATATGGACCTACTACGCCATTGTTACGGTTTTCTATACTCTCGTTTTACGTAGTCATAATATATGTACGATGACTTTGCTGATGTCTATCGTATATACGAAATATCATTAAACGACCATAATTGAAACTAAGTTGACGACCCGAAAGCGGTAGAGGTCAGTCGCGACGAAATAGTTTCGACTTATACGACAATAAGGAATACCACCGAGAGAGATCTTTGGCCCGTGTATTATATATTATATAAACTGCATCCTAATTATGTAGCGTAATTCTTCGTATACATAATATATCTGTACTGATATTTTTCGAAATTTTATCGACGGCATTTTGTATACTTTTACGCTTATATTTTTACTGTTTATTTTTTATATTTCAATCAGCGGTTTTGATCAATTACCATAAAAATATATAATGACGTTTTATTTATAGGATTATCAAATATTATTATAATTTTGATTAGATTTATTTGTATAATAAAATGATAAAAATTATACACTGTATAAGCCGTATTATTTATTTATTTTATTTTTTTATTTCAGAAATTTACTTGGCTGTGCATACGTTGGGAAAATCGTAGAAAACAAAACACATCATATACCTTAAATGGTGAGTAACATTGAATACATTTATGTTCACATATAAGCTTCTACTATATTTGCTTCACTACATTTGTAGTGTCTATACTTTATTATTTCACTCGGTGAAAATCATTTTTTTTCATTTTAACCTCCAAATGGAATATTTGTTTTTAAAAAAAAAAAAAAAAAAAACATTGTTTTCGGTCTATAATTCACATGCTCATGAAATATACTCCGAACGCACGTTATTTGCCTATTGAATATTATTATATACTCTCCAACTAAGTTTAGCTAATGTAGTGTCATCGTAACGTTATATAGCGCGTGATAATTACATTTTCTATACAATATAATCATTATTAATGTCGTCAGTAGATTATAATAAGGAGTTAGGTACGGCAAAAGAAACACAAAATACTATACGTTTTGTCGTAAACTGGTTAAATTTAAATAATAAATTATAACTTACCCATTAAAGTTTTAAATTATTATATTTTTTATGAGTGGACGAACTATTAATTAAGATTACTGTATTCGTCGAGTTTAAAAAAAGAAATAAAATATACAGTTCCAATCGTATCAGTATGTTTAGACACGCAAAACACTTAAATATTTAAAACTGTGCTGAGAAATCTACTAAGAACAATACATTTTTCAACGGTATTGCAACAACTAATTCTATACTATATATAAGTAGATATATGTCAATAAATTTTCACTTTAAAATTCAAGAACTAAAAATACAAAACATTTACGTTTCTGAGGTAAGGTTATCGAACACGCCTCCGAGGAAAACAATAACACTCAGAAACTTAAATGTCGTGATAGGGAACATTAAAATGGACTAAACAAAAGTTCGTGTCCTGAAACTTTACTCAGTAGTACATGTACACGTAAGAAAGGAAGCAACCAAATGTGATCAATCGTGTAAGACTACAATCGAATATTGACCTTGTGAAAAGTTTAGGAAATCGAAAAAGTTTCTCTCAAGTATTTTAAGAATATGTGAGTTATACTGCGAAAGGATAAGCTTTTATCGTACAGTAGAGCAGTAAAGATTGAAAAGCGTGACTTATAAATTTCGGTGTTTTTATTAAACAATTCAAGGTATGCGCCATGCTAAAGTTAACATTTTGAGATAAAACTTATTTCACATAAATTTAAATGGAACACAGAAATACAGCATCTATGTTATACGTTATTTCAAATAAAAATATAATGTTTTGGAATTTTAATCTCAATGGATTTAATTTTGATTAAAATCCCAAGCGTTTAAAAATCTAGCAAACAGATATTCTTAAAGTAGTTTATTTTTACTTGGAAACAACTTTTATTTCTCTAAGATTTTTTTCCAACCAAATCAATGTTTTATTTTTTTTTTTATTACGTATACCTTTAAATTAAGTTTGAACTGTGTTTTTATTTTAAATGTATAGATTTTTATTCATTATAATTGAAACATTCAAATTAATATTCCTCGTTTAGATTTTAAGTATTCTTCACCAATTTCTTATGGCCTTATAAGTCATATTTTTTTTCATTTTAAGATCCATATCGCATTATTACCTATTATTTTATGTTTTATTTTCTCGGTGGAAATAATATTAAAATTTAAATATAGACAGATAAATCTCCTCGAAATCATACCCCAGTTAAAACATTTAATCATTAAATATTAATAGTATTTATTAATATTCAAGACAATATATTGCAAAAAAATATAATTAAATTAATACGATATTATTAATAAAATTAATATAAAATAATTAATCTGGATTGTTATAATCAGGTACTTAAATTTAATACAATTATACATGCATAAGTGAATGTTTTTTATAAATTATATTTTTATATACTCAAAATGAATGTAATAATTAAAAGAAAAACCGGACAAATATATTTGACCAATTTTACATTATTCGCCTACACAGCAGGCATAACCTTCGATGATAGTATTCCAAATTATTTAAATTACTCTGCTGGAATTAATAATTCATCTAGTATTGTCAATGCGAGAACTATGTTTAATTAAAATAGGTCTGGCGTGCACATTTGAACATTATTAAAACCAATTATCTCGGTGACAGTACACATGTTAGTGTATTATTGTTTTTTGGCATCATATACGATGTAAGTGATTGCATTGCATGTTTTTATATTATAGTTACCCGTGTGACTCTTACCATAAACATAAATATTATAATATATAAATATATATTGTACATGTGAGCTTATTTATTATTTTAATAATATTATGTTATTGTTTTTTAACAGCAACAGTATCTCGTTTTTATGACGATATTTTATTATACTATAGTATTTTAATACGTATAAAACCCATAGTATCGATGAATTTGACGTGTCTAGATGTACGTTCACCGAGAACATGAACACGTTCGAGTTCATGAAGTTTTTTGAAGGCTGGAGGAACTGAAGGAAGAAGGAAGAAAAATAAAAACAGAAACAATAATAATAATATAATTCCCTAGTTGTCGGTCGATTTATGTAGGGATTTTATTTATTACACTAGTCCACTGTGTTCTTAAGGATTTGATGTGATAACAACAATAAAAATAATAAAAACCGTATTTTCTCCAATACACATATTCTGCTGTTGAATTCTAGCCATCTTCTACTCTTAGCCAGAGGTTGTAAATAACCCTATATCTGACGAGACAAATAAAATATATTATATCCAATATGTACAACGGATTATATGAGAGCACTCATCGTTACGTGTTTGTATATATGTATGTGAGTGTGAGCACATATGAAGAATAGGCCTGCAATTGTTTGCTTCAAGACAATGGACTGAAAATCAACCCTTGGAAAAGTGCCAGAACCCTCTGCGCATTATCCTCGCGCGTGCAGCTGATCGATTTACGATCAGCTCATTAAAAAAAAAAAAAAAACTATAATCCAGTGTACTTATGATAAACATATTGAAAGAAAAAAAATAATAATTTCTATAGTTTACCTATAAAATGATAAATAAATCTATTAATTTACATTTAATAAATCATGGTCAACTGGTTTTAATTAATTGGATCGTGGATAGTATTCTATGGAAATAATAGAATAAATTAATTGTTGGTTGACCAAAATATTTGACTAAAATAGTGCAAGTAAACAGTTATATATATAAATACTTTCATGCATATTATTTTATTTATTTATTTATTTTTTTTTTTTTTTGTTCACAGCTCTGATTCTAAAGATAATCGTAATGATAAATCACTACTAGTTATGGAGGAATTTGTATCACACTTTTGGTGAGTACACGAGAAAATCAAACATGCTAACTATGACAACTGATAGAAATAGGAATAGTTATAATAGTCATAATACAATATTCTCGTCAAGTGTGTCGTATTGAGTTGCAATTAATTTTTTAAAAAACGAATTAATATAATAAACTAAATTATCATGTTATATTGATTTTCACTGCCGATCGGGTTTGATAGTTACCAAACTGCTGCTGGTCGATTAAATTCAGGGAGAAAGAGAGAGAACCATGTGTGGCTAGAGTTTGAATACTTACTCGTGTATGGTCCTGCTGTGAAACGTTCCATTCGGTATTGAATATAAACCGCCCTGTTTTATGGATTCGTGATGAGTGTGAACACTAAATTTAATCCTTCGGCTAGACACTATACAGCGTTTGATTACTAGAATATTATGCACAACACCGCGCTCGGTATACTCGTGTATTACACGCCCTTGTACTGCTGCTGGTCATCGCAGTGTATACGATGATAGTGCGTCAAATAGATTGTAATTAATTGCCCACGGTCCAAACAATTAAGTACGCACACCGCAACGACCGCCACCGCCGCCCATTTTATACTTGTGCACTTTGCTGGTGACCAGTGGCGGTTGCGGTGACATTACTGATTATACGAGAGACGGGATGTACATCATCACACGATATAGTGGTGTTATCGGTCCTTAAACTGCGTTTCTTCTGAACCGATATGTTAAGTTATCATTATTTTTGTTACACTACCGTGTAGCATACGGTTGTGTGTATTTAGAAATTTGAAAGTGTGTAGAAAATGTTTTTCTATTTATTGAAATATTATCGAAAATACAATATGAAAGTCGTTTTGCGTGTATTCATTAGTTAGAATGTTTATTAAATTTTTAACGAATACATTTAGTAGAATCATAAACATTTTAAGGGGTCAAAAATAAATAATTATTTAAAATGCATTATTTATTGGAAGCACAAACACGGTTACTTATATTACACAAATGTCGTAAAAGTTACTTTTACGTAATAAACAATTTTAGAAGGGTAGACCACTATCTCCATCGGTGTCCATCATGGGTATTATGCACTGGCTACAAGTGTACAATAAATTTTGTTTATAATGTCGTGTGTAATACGAACAATTAAAAATCTTAGACTCTGACTTGATGTGTGTATACGAATAATGTCTGTATTTAAGTAAATTGATATTATATTTGCGATTTACACGCACGTCGTGTACGAGTACTAGACGTATCCGACTAATCACTATTTAACTGATTGTGTAATTTCTGTTCAGCGCCAAATTTTCCATCGCATCCTTCGTTTTCTGTTAACATACCGCACAGGTTTCTGTGTAGCTACAGCAGCTATTCTTCCTAAGTACTGGTTTACATTTAGTTTTAAGTCGTTATTTTCTCCTATCTTATTATCGACAATAATGATCAGCACGCGAAAAAAGGTTGCAGTGGCATTGGTTTTGTGATCTTCGTTTTTGTTTTTCGTTTTTAGAAATCCAGTAGATGGTTGTGTATATCTCACAAAGTATAGGTATAGGTTTAACGATGTGGCACATAAATAATATTATGTAAGATGCAACTAGAGGAGAAAAATTTAAAAAATTATAATTAAGTATGTTGTTCAATAATATTAATTCAAAACGGAATTGAAATTGCGAATGAGGCCTCTATACAACGGTTGAACGAATGGTATAACGATATGAAGAGCAATGGGGAGACGTGGTCGAATACTAGCCTGCATAAACATTGAGAAATTTTATTTGTATTCTCTCTGTTTTAATATACGTGATCTCATCTTCCTTCATCATTTAAAAATGAACGCGAGCGCAATGCATATTTAGTCCAATTAGGACGCTTTTCTTTGTCACCGTGTTGTTTATGTAGAAACACAGCGATGACCTCCCTTTTGATACACAGCCGTAAACATATCAGTAGAACACGTTACAGCGAGAGTGAACAGTTATGATCTACTACTAAATAATATATAATATCCACTTGGTCATCGGTATTCTTTTTCGTCTCTCGATTTGAAAGCAATTTCATTTTATGCAGATTGAAACGATTTTTCTCTTTTAGTCAGCATTAAAAATACACCAAGCTCGTGGCAACATTTTCTCGAATCGATTATCAACAAAATCCGTCACATATCAAAAGCAACACCAACGGATGTGTAGTATGCCATAGCCGGTTTGCTAAAATCACTTTGACTACGGAAAAAGTTCCTACACGTCAGTCAACCTGTTCAGTTTTAATCGATTCTCGAGTTTCAACCGACCGAAATATTTAATAAGCGTACGTGTTTCTTTTGGTAACTCAAAGTTCAAGCAATGTACTTACTTACACATTTGACATTTCCCAACAAACTAAATGCATTAACACGTTAATCCTTTTAAATTTTCATATTATAAATTAATTCGAAAAGAACTCAAATTAGGAAAAACAGACATCGACGCTAGATGCTTCATTAATTATTTCCTTATTAAAATCGAAACCGTTTAAAAGTGCTATTCTTTAGTATAATATTTTGAAATTAATACTACGCTGTCTATAAAAACGTCAAGAAATCATTATTTATTACGGTATAATATTGTTACACTCAGATTAGATTTTGTATTCACCCATTGATTTTTAAAAATGTTCGTGATATTCTACTTAAAAATGTTATAACGATATACTATATGTTTTATATGTATGTTTATTTTTTGGTTTGTCTTCTCGATGCTGTTAATTAATATTTTTCTGTGCGGAAATGCTAATGCGATAATCCAGTGGGAATAATTTTTTTAAGAATTTATTTACGCTCATATAAAACAAAACTCGAATAATGAAGTGGACGTTATTAATTTTTAGTTTCCACAGCATTATAATTTTCGTTTTAATAAAAACTTTGCTTAATGAAGGTTTTGAGCTTCATTAAAAAATATTGTAGCGTAATCAGAGAGAATCCCAGTTAATGCTTAAATCTATTATAATTAGATATTGAGAATTGAAATAACAAATTCAATATTTACTCGGTTTGTATAATATAATTAATTCGTTTTAATAAAACTTCATTAAGAGGAGTACATTTATATTCAGCATTATATTCATGCTCTAAAATATTTGAAATAACATTCATTTTTAGGCTTGTGTATGATATTTTTGGATAAGTGGCATAACAAATAAAATAAAGACTAAAATATTTTGAAAAAAATAAAATAACGTTAATTAATATGCTAAATGTTAAACATTTAAATAATATCCAAGACGATTTTTCAACAGTTTCATTTCATATTTTCAATAGGTATACCAAATTAAAACCAAATTTAACGCAATCACAATTAATTACATAATTCCGTATACTATAATAAGTAATTCAAATTTGATTAGTTTTTTTGCTTATAGTAATAAATATAATTGATTACAAATTATTTACTCTTATTTAATACCTTAGTAAAAAAATATTATTCTATATTATATTTCATTATTTTAATTTTTCTATCCAACTTAATACTTCCATTACGATTTCATACTCCGTTTTATATATTTATAAAAGATGTTATTAAATGTGTACTTTGTATATACGTGAGTACGTAACACTTGTAAGCATACAAAAATCCTTATAAATATTTTAAAGTCCGGAGTACGGGGAACATAATATTAATTCCTTAAATATTAAAATAATAATACCTACTGCTGTATAGACACCGTTGTTCTAGAGTGTTGTTTGCATCAATAACGAGTTTTTTGGTAAAATATACAACATATATAACAAGAGGTACAAACGATAGGCGCAAAAACAACCCTGGGTTTTTTGTCGAACACAATGAGTTAGGGCAGCAAACAAACCTTCGATCTGAAAACAAAAAAAAGTCGACACTGTTAGTGGCGGTAGGAGGTAAGAAATAAAATTGGGGAAAGTTCGATGGGAGGTCACTGTATTCATCCATCATTTTGACTATGATGGAAGACCATAGTCCGAGTTTAGTGACTTTGGCCGATAAGAAGTAAAGAAAAACGATTTCATAGCGTGTACATTAGATATCATTGTCAGAAGAATACATTTTTCACGTTCGATCACTTTAACTTATTACATTATTAATATCGTCCCGCAAAATTTGGTAACGATTAAAATCGTTTTTTTTTATAAATATTATTATTATTATTATTATTATTGCAAGTGTCGTGTTGTATATCCACACGCTAGTGACGAAGAAAAATGCCTCGTGTGGTGTATACGATCAATAGAGGAAAATCGGTTTCAAACAGTCGACATAGATGAATCGGTGGCGAAAAGATTACAACACAAAAATATCGTTCAGTATTCAATCGATTCTTGGATGCAATGATAATGTTTTGCAAACGTATAGTATTGTAATTACAAAACGCGACAGTTCTCATGCGCGTGCGTATGTCATATTGTGACAGGTGTACGTGCACCGTCCAAAAAAACTAACGTACGGAGGCGACCGCCGGCGCGAGCATTTTCTCGGATAAAGGATTAGAATTGTCAGTCGCCCACGTTCGTGTCAACGTCATCATCTCTCCTCGGGTTTTAGTTTTTTTTCTCTTCGACTCAATTCGTATATACGGTTGAATCACACACAGGCGTTACCAAGTGCTATAAATTAGCGTTGATCTTCTAACCTATCACGTGCGTCGAACTGGTGGCCGAAGAACGAGACTAGAGACAGTAGACGGAATCACTTTAATCACTTATTTTTCATCAATTTTGTTGTTTTTTCTGCTCAATCATATTGAGAAAAAATTATATTGAAATTAATTAATTAATTTTTAGCCTCTAGTATTATTGTACTTGTAATGCAATTATTTTATTTTTTATTATTTTACGTTCGTCTAATTTAATTTAAATATAACACTAACACATAGTAAACCGTTTTTAATGGAAATGTTAAATAATTATTTATACAACAATGAATGATGCATTTTATCAAATAGCAAATACCTCTGTTTATAATTACAAAATAATTTGTACAATTTTAAAAATGATGTACTTTAAAAG